TTACTATATATACTACTATATAACATATATATATATATATATATATATATATATATATATATATATATATATATAATATATATATATATATATATATATATATATATATATATATATATTGTAGTATACTTGTATATACCTGTACTTTTCGCGTAGTATTTTGAACTCTACTTATGCTACTTTTCCTTTTATAGAGTATAAATGATTGAAATTAGATTATCTATTTTGTTTTCTCTTCATTCTTTGCCAGTTCAAGTAAGGCATCACAAGGGAACATTTATTGTTTATAATTCTGTGTTAAGTATTGATCAATTAGACTTTCAACATGTTAACATAGAGTACGATTACTTGTTTGTTCCGACCTTTATTTCGCTATTACTTGTTTGCCCCTATCAATTTTTTACACTCACAAGAATATTGGCTTGGCATAGTTAGCCATGTGTTACCAATGCTTAGTTACCTATATGTTATCAATTCGTCGAGTTGAGTTGCTATCTTCGGTTTTTATGTGCGTGTATTGTGTACAATGTGAGCTCGAAGTTTATACACACACTTGTCTGCTTGTTCCGCGATGCCATACGGACTATGTAAACATAATTTATGGGGTGCCCTGTGGTGCCGTAGCTGCTGTTCCCTGTCGGCAATTCAGTCGTGAAGCTGAATAGTTCGTGTTGTGAATTAAAAGACGGGGGAGTTGCCGGTTGCAAAATCTACAAGAAACTACATTATATTTCAGGTTTTGATACCATACCCACTGTCATTCCAACTTTGTCACCTTTAGAAGCTTGCCTGTGCTCACAACCGTTGCCAGCCGTAGCTATGTGCGTCTTGCCACTTCTGGCCGCTTACCTGGCGATAATTTGTTGAAGCTACCGAAGGCAATGATGCAGGAGACAGGGCATGCTATCCAAGATGACGGTGTCGAAGTTGAAGGTATTTGCATACAAATGACTTATCACCTTTTTTACCACCCGAGTTGGCCTGTATGGGAATGCTGTCGCTGTGCATGTTGTCTGTTTGATTGGATTCATACATTTGGATGCTTCTTTTGGATACATGGGGGTACTGCGTATATGCACTGTTTGTGTGAGAGTTTGCATTTATAAGGTACCTGTCGTGGGCGACTCGCTAAACGTTTGACGGCTCGACTATGGCTACTTACTGGGTGCCTTTCTTCTTGTACAGATTACCTTGATGGATTCGAAGTGGCCCAATACACCATGAATTTTGGACCTCAGCATCCAGCCGCGCACGGAGTGTTGCGCTTGGTTCTTGAGTTGGAAGGTGAACAAGTTCACAGGTAGGTTTGGCATTTGCACGGATCTTGAGTGTATGTCTCGACTTGGTCTGTGGCTGACACACGTGCCCACAGCAACGATCTGGTATTCGAAATCGAAATTTACTTAATTTACTATTAGTACTGAAATGCCAGTGATAATCGCAGCTAACATTTAAATTGTATTTTTTTCATTTCTCATGCAGAGCGGATCCGCATGTTGGACTTCTGCACAGAGGCACAGAGAAACTCATTGAGTACAAAACCTACACCCAGGCGCTTCCATACTTTGACCGATTGGACTACGTGTCTATGATGTGCAACGAACAAGCGTATGTTTCTTGCTTTTCTCACATTTGGATCAGCTACCGTGGAACATCAGTGTTTGACCTTTCCGAAGCGCCATAGCTATTCTGAGTATTTATAGGAGTCCTACGACGTTTATATGATTCCCGGATTGTGCATGTGCCACCCCGACTCAATCTACATTTTAATTGGGCTTGTACAGCTATTCCTTGGCCACAGAAAAGCTCTTGCACTTGGAGGTGCCCATTCGTGCCAAATACATTCGAACATTGTTCGGTGAATTCACTCGACTGTTGAATCACATCATGTCCGTGACTACACATGCTCTGGTAAGTTGTTCAACATTCTCAGTGACCTTAAAAGGTGCACTACTATCGATAGGAAGGCAGGGCTTTCGGCTTGTAGAATAAGAACGCTTTCTGAACACTTACATTAATCGGTATATATTCTTGTATCGTTCCATTCTGAAACTCACAAACACTCAATCACAGGACGTTGGAGCTCTGACACCTTTCCTCTGGCTGTTTGAAGAGAGAGAGAAAATGATGGAATTTTACGAACGCGTGAGCGGTGCGCGTCTCCACGCAGCATACGTACGGCCAGGAGGCGTGGCTTACGATCTACCCCACGGTATGTAGTGATCTCGGAATGAACTTTGTGAAGGTGGTGGCTCTCTTTAGCCCTGTAGTTGCTACGGTATCTATGTATCGAAATCTATTTAACACAAAATTGAAAGTTTTGTTCTGATTTCTCGTATCTTTATACTCTATGCTTATAGTTAATATGTGACTTATTTTACTTCGTACTAGGCATTCTCGAAGACATGCACCAGTTCATCAACAACTTCAGTGTCCGTATTGATGAGGTCGAAGATCTACTCACCGGCAATCGTATCTGGAAGCAGCGTTTGGTAGACATTGCTGTTGTGGACTCCGAGAGAGCACTGAACTATGGTTTCTCGGGCCCTATGCTTCGTAAGTGATTTTGAAATCGTTGTTGAATTAATGTTCAAAATCGTCTTATTTATTTCCATGGGGTATCAGTCCATGTGCTTGTCTTTTGCCCCTTTGCGCTTCGTTCAGAATTAGTACAGTGTTCGCATTTATGAAATTGAGTTCACCACCATTCAAGTTGCCTTTTGGAGATGAGATCAATCCCAGGTCAACTTCTCATTTAGTATCGCCGTCTAGAGAGTTTGTGTATCCGATTGCTAATCTGTGACATATCATGTTTGCAAATCGACCATAGGGAATTTATTTCCCTGGGTACTCATTTGTTTACCTTTTTTCCGTAACTCATTCGCTAGGTGGTTCTGGAATCGCGTGGGACATACGAAAGACTCAGCCATACGATGCCTATGATAAGGTCGAATTCGACATCCCAGTGGGTGTAAACGGTGATTGTTACGATCGTTATCTTTGCCGGGTTGAAGAAATGCGCCAATCTATCCGCATCATTCAGCAATGTATCAATCAAATGCCCGAGGTGTGTGTAGTAATAAGTGTCTCTGCATGTTGTGTGCAGCAATAAGCGTCTCTGTATCATGCATACATTGTTATTTTTTTGATATCTTCTTGGTGTCAAAGGCTATCTCGACAAATATCCCTTTACCACCTCGCAACTAAGAGCAATGATTTTGAAACAATATACATTGGTAACGGTGATATGGTCAATATCATATTATGCCATGGTTCTACTAGTCATCTGATAATTTAATGTAAAAAATATGATATGGATCTTGCCAATTATGTGCATTAGGGTGAGATCAAGGTTGATGATGCTAAGATCTGTCCACCTAAGCGTGCGGATATGAAGCAAAGCATGGAGTCTTTGATTCATCATTTCAAGCTCTTTACCGAGGGCTACAGTGTACCCGCTGGGGCTACATACGTTGGCGTTGAGGCGCCGAAGGTACGAATTTGCCTTTTTCTTGTGGCATGTTTTAAACTCGTTCTACTGACTATCTATTATACACGATACTCCTGTCACTTCTCACCGTTCGCCTGCATGATAATCTATTTTCTGTTGAACTTTGTGAGCGCAGCATCTGCTGATAACATTGTTTTTTGTTTCATTTTATCACTTTACTAGGGAGAATTCGGCACGTACCTCGTCTCTGACGGCTCAAGTAAGCCTTATCGCTGCAAGATTAAGGCACCTGGATTCGTTCATCTGTCCTCTCTGGACATGATGGTTGCGGACCATATGATGGCAGACGTGGTTGCTGTAATAGGAACGCAAGATGTGGTGTTCGGGGAAATCGATCGCTAAATTCAACCAAGATGAGCTTTTTGTTACAAATTCTCTTTGTGTACTTCGGGTGTAGAGTACGAATTTCTTTACAGTAGCAGTTGCGAAGAAATAAAAAAATTCGATATTTGCTCATATCTTCTATTATATTTCATGTCATGTGGAGCCGCAAATGGCTAATCGTTCTATAAAAGGCCCAAGTATAACTTTGGCTTATTGTGTAGCTCTCCTGAAGTTCTGGCGGGTCAAAGAAACAACCACGAAGAAATATAGACCCTGAATCGTTCTTGAGACTGTGCGCAATATTTATCTCAATTTCGTGAGCTTTTATAATCAAAAGCAGATAATCTATTCTAAGGTTTTTATTCACAAAAACTAATCATTCTATATGCGTATTTACTGTAGCATGTACTACTTCTACGTTTCCTAATTTTCGCAACGATCACAGTCGCGAACTCTTAATCTCGAGCTTGGTTTCAAACTGCTTGAAACGCGGTCATATCAAACAGAGATTCAGTGCTTGGACGCACATCCACTGCACCCGCAGGTGTTGTTTCTCCTGCTGGTGTTGTGCCCACTGTAGATGGCGAACCCTCTACTGCTTTCTTCGTCTTCGTCTTCTTCGATTTCGACTTCTTTAGTCGTAATTTGTTTTCGCCGTTGTCAGCTGCTTTCCCACCCGCCTGCATGGCCGGCATTGGCTTCATAATGACTACCGGAGGAAGATTGTTGTTGTTGAATTTATCATCTGCCAGCGGTTCGTTTGCCTCAATAGTATATTGTAGCTCTTGATTCATGTGAGTATTGTGTTGCATCAAATGCCCGTTATAACTGCGATTTGATCGGCTGCGACTGTATTGCAGACTGCCATACCCAGAGTCCTGGTTCGAAACTGAACCCACACTCTTCCGTCTGCTAGCAGGTGGACTGTGTGGCTTATTTCCGTGATGTCCTCTCATTTGAGAGGCGTCTGGTTGGTGCAGGTACTCTTCCTCCACAATGAAAGACTGTGCAGAAATCTCGGCACTTGACTTGCGGCGAGAAGGAAAACTGCCGTCTGACGAGACACCGTTAGATGAAGGGGGGCCTTGTGAAAGCGCTTTTGTAGTGCCCTGTGGACCACCGCCATTCCTGGAGCGCAACGCACTAAGGTCGCCATATGCAGGTTGTTGATCGTTGTACCGATACGCCCCAGCGCCGTCACCAACACCACCGCCCGTGCTGAGCACACTGATATCCCTGTTGAGCTGCTGGATTTTGAGGAGACGCTTCCGCCTCTCCAGTTCTTGGATATGATAGTTCAACTGTTCAGCCGACTTAGCGTTTAATGATTGAGCCCCCGTGTCGAAGGTGAATGCCTTTGGGCCGGAACCAGAATATGGATCTGCTGTTCTGGGCTGTATGCACGATATGATCAACAGATAATTAGGATGATTGACATCGATGTTATTTCAATTTACTATGTTGTGGCAATGTAGCAAGATCGAGCTTATGTACTTACCGCTTGAAGTATGTTGCCCACTGTTCCGTCATCATTCATCACACCGACAGCCTCCATTACCATCTGATCAGCTCCGTCTATCCCGGGACAAGACTTCAGTCTAAATAACGTTTGACTCGCGGCGTTCATATTGTCCTAATGACGGTTAGAAAATTAGAAAAAACGATGGATTTACATATGAAAATATGAATGCGTAATTCAAAATATTTTAACAATTGCAATTATGCTTTAAGATAATTTTAATGCAAATAACCTTCCAATAATCTACATGGATGCTAATACTACATACCTTGGACATAACTCCGAAGACTGAATTCGCTTGCGAGAGTTGGGTCACTATGATAGGCTGCTTCCGTTGAGCCTTCTTTTTGCGATTGCGTCTCATTACCCAATACATTATTAGACAGGCGATCAGGCCGATAAGAACCAGTACGCCCACCACCACGCCAATAATGATACCTGCCACAGCGTAAAAAAACATAGTTAGTTTGTGAGATGATAAAGATTAAGATGTCGATACGAAAGCGATATTGGACCTGATCGTGACAATTTAATTACAATCTAAGCGAAATATATATCAAATTTCATAGTTTGCATAGTGTGGCATAAAACAAGAGTGCTAGACCTACCCATAGAGACTGAGGTACTCTGTTCCTGGGACACATTGGTCGCTTCTGTGGTAGTATTGGTCGTGGCTGTCGTGTTAGCGACAATGTCAGCTGCTGTTGCCGTTTCAGCATACGTATCCGTCGTGGCCTTCTTCACGGAGATTGCTTTCTGCAGCCGGCCCACACTGGATGAGCCCTGCACATTGGTGATTTGTCTTCGTCTGACGATTGAGATATGAGAAATATGAGGACCCACGCTGTCCGTGCTTTATGCTTTTCAGACGCTGAATTAATCCCTTCAATACATGATATCATTTTGTACAAGTTTGATTTGGCACTGCACGCCAGTAAATAGAAACTATACCTTCGCTGTGCTGCTCCCGCACTGTATTCGCACAAGAAGTTAAATTCGAGTAACACCACGGTTGGGTCGTACAATGCCCCGCAGGTGACTGCGGGTGCCAGATCTATGTCAACAACGCCCTACATGTGGTGATAATATACTTGGACTTATTATCGTATTCGTCGAAGCATTATCACAGACGTTAGAGGTGAGTAGTGATGCAGATTATTGATGCATAAAAGTTTGATATGTCAACCCAAAACACAATACCTCCATGCCAGAACCAAGCAACTTAAGGCGTCCATGTTCACTGACACTTTGTCTCTCCTGGCAACCTCCCACCGATGAGAAGATAGAGTTGAGACTCAGCTGTGTCAGCTGAAGCTTGTTGAGGCTTTCTATCTTTACATCGTATTGTACATGATTCCCTGGTGTATGCTCCAAAATGATATTTGGCCGCGCTGATGGAGACATTAAATCAGAAGAATCAACAAAGCAAGTAGGATGCTATAATTTAGTAAGCCATGATTATGCTACGGATAAAAAGATTGAATCATATAGTTGTGATGATTACTAAAAATGTAAAATTTGCTTTCAACAACTATCATCCTTCTGTTCATCAGACTACCAACTACCAAGCGAAATGAATCTGCGTAGACTGACTACATTTTGCGCACATACCTCCTTTGACATCCATTATTATTTCGAAGGCCTTTCCAACTACCGTGGAATCTACAGAGCAAACATCGTATCCATCAATATTGATCTAAATTATACAGGAGGCAGTAGGACGATTAGTACAAATTCTTTCGTATCGCATAGCCAAACAGAAGCGAACGAGCAGATAGAGCAAAAGTAGCATTCTCATTGTTTGGAGTTAACTAATTACCTGAATCTCAACCGTGGTCGGAGAGCATCCCTCGGCTTCGGCGCTGCCACTTCGACAGACCAGTGGCACTCGCTCGATCTTCATTTCGCCATCCAAGAAGCAGGCTCCATTGTGGTCTATACGCACAGCCAATCTTTGCACGCATGGTGAACCTGCGACACATCCGCTACTTGAACCAATCTGCAGAGGCTATAAAATACAAAGTAAATACATGCGTGAGGATGCAAATATATCAAAAAACAACACGTTATCACAATGATGATTGCTACCGCTTCGATTTATTCATGGCTGATGGGTTGCCTACCTGAATTTTCGCTGATCGTTCACTTCTTCCGTTGATGAATTTAGGTTGCACACTGGCCTCGGAATTAAACGAATACATTCCACTAGTCTTCGAGCTTAGAACAATCGTCGAATACCCTTGTCTGCCGCCTCCAACCTCGACTTCTTCTGTGAGAAGCTACGGATATATCAAAAGTAGATATTTAGTATAAGTACACCTCGAACTTCCCGCTTTGCGTTCAATATCGTAAACAAATTTTCTTGGATCAGATACACACACAAAGCTAGAAATGCACAAATCGATAGAAATCATACCTTAATTACGGGTGTGTTCAGTGATGTTTGCTCAATTGCATTCTCTGGACCTGCTCTAATTCCCACCTATCAATGAAGCCAGATGCATGACGTATTTTGAGCGTGCATGGTCATGTTATTCAGCTATTGTGCTTCAACAATGGAAACAACTGGGACGTTATAAGGTTTCAAACAGACAATATATTTAGCCGCAATCAGGGCAACAATTCACTTTGGTGTTCAACAATGGAGATACATACCATGAACTGTGTCGTTGTTTCATAGTTTTGTCCATTATCTGCTATTGCCGTGGCAGTAACTGTGATGGTTGTATCATTTTCAGGCAGTGCTGCGATAGTTGACCAGGGTATGGATATCCTGATACGCGAACCATCTTGTGCTACATTAACTGATGTATCCTTCAAAGCGCAACATAGAATGTCAAGTGGAGTCAGAGCATTGAAAAACAAATCCTGAAAGTCGGACTCCGATGATAACACAGACCACCTTTGCAATAGCCTTCATCATGCCCAGTTGGACAAGAATAGCTCGTCGCTATACTCCCGCAACGCACACTGATGTCCATCCGTCTCGACGTATGTTTAAAATCTTGTCGATGTAATCTTCCGAGCTGAAATATATTGAATTACCGGTTAAGTCATACATACCGTTTCCACAATTTGATGCGTCTCTCCACCGTACGTGATCGCAACACGTTCCATAGAAACTATGCTTATCTCTGATCCGGAGTTTAGTACTATAGTTATAAGCGCAGTCTGTTTGTTGGAAGAATGACATATGGCTCAATTTATAATTTGTAAATAAACATAGATAACATTAAGTAATGAAGAACAGAAGAAGTAACATAATTTAGATTAGTTGCTTGAGTTATCAGGTGACGAGCTTAAAATATTGGAAACTTGTACATACATCATCGGCATTTAGAGTGCCCAGCAGAGGTGCATCAAGGTCAACTGTAGTCATATACTTTGAAATTTCTGTCGCCGTCCCCGTTGACGGTCGAGTGGCGAGCTCTAGTGATTTGGGTGAAATTTGCGTTCCCACACACATGTAGGGTGAGCCCAGCATCAACTGCGGGCGGAGAGAAGGAAATCCGTCAGGGCTTGGATCTGATTTATACACCATGCTTGCACACATAAATAAATATTCAATTAGTCTCATATGCACATACCGATGTTGCTGGAGCGTTAATTGGGCCAGGGCAATTCTCCTCTTCTGGTTTACAATCGTATGTATACCCCTGCAGTGTATACTGTCCGTCGATCGCGCATCTAATTGGTGTACAAATAGAATACCCGTGATATCAATAAGTCTTTGGGGTATTGTATGTGGGTTAGAACTCAGAACGGAACCACTGACGACACGATGAGTAATAACTTACAATCCATTATGGTATATGTTGAACTGAACAGTCTGCTCGCACACGTCGCCTGATTTGACCGTGCAATCAGTGGTCGTGATGTCGTTTACAGTGGGAACATAATGACTCTCTCCACGCGTCTGAAGTGTGATATTCTGCCATTGCAAAACAAAATTGATAAAATGTTATTTAACGTTGCAATGCAGTCAAAACATATCTTATTAGAAACGTTGAAGCCGATAACATACTACTGCGATATACTATTTACTTACTGTGAGCGAGATTTGGAGAGGGTGATTCACCACACTCCTCAGAATGACTTTCGTGAAACCTCTCATGACTAATGCCTCACCGTTCCGTAAGAATCCAGTGTCTCCTATAACAGAAGAGGTAAAGAAGAAAAAACAGAATCAGCTCAGCATTTTACAATGCATGGCAGTCCATGACATGTGAACTCCAAAAAACTATCATATTGTTTAATTCGACACAGTTACGACTTGCACATACCGTATTCTACGCGATCTAAAGTGAGTGTCGGCTGTGATTCAAAGGCGCCATTTATACGGCTCACTACGGGTGTATCGAAGTTACTCTCGACAAATCTCGCCGTCTTCAGTTCAATATTATGGACATAGCGGATGATGGGTTGTCCGGATAGAGTGCTATCGGTTGACAATAGAATAGGTTAGAACTTATTGAGAACGTAGTAAAGAGGGGTATCAGTGACAGTAAAAGTGGAATGTTACGAAATTTAAGTCGAGCATAAGAGTAAAACTCGTTCCTCGCGTACCTTTGGGTCCCTGTACGAATAGCGTACGCAAGCTGTCCTTCGTATACGAGCGCTGCACCATTACTACTGACCTTTTGATTGAAAGTTGGTAGTATGCACCGTTCGAAATTTGCGCTAACTTTAGCTCGCCATCGACAGTTTTCTACAGGCATCTGTACAATTACGACGGATAATCAGCCAAACACTTCCGAAGAACCTATATATTATCACATCACTGCAAGCACATGTTTGACAAATCACCGCAAGCTAAGAAGTCATAATAGATCGTACATACCCCTACCACTGAGATATCAGCATTCAGTTTTTCAGTAGGTAGCGCGGAAACCACACAATCACCCAGGGAAAACTCCACGAACCGGTAGCCGCGGAAAGGTGGGTGATTTACAATGAACTCATAGTTATCTCCTATGAGTTAGATGGACAAGGGAATGTAATTCCGTCAAACTGTACTCCGATCGATACAGTAAGAAAATTAAGAAAATACACACTCACCCCAATCCCAACCCTTTCATTTGAACATCGGTCTTACCTATTTGCTTCGTAGATTCTACCACCAGCATATCCACAGATGTAACTGCCAATGATGAACCAATTGTACAGCCACCTATACCGATAGTTTGGAAGTTACATTAAATCAAAGTTTAGTATCAAAACGTCTCATATCGTAAATGAAGATTTGGTAAGGTTTGCTTAAGCCCAGAATATGTATAAAATATGCGCTTGACAATATCAAACCAAACTTCAAATTCGAACTCGAAATTATTAGGTAGGATGAAGCCTACCAAAAGCAGTAGGCAAGCAGTCCTGTTCGCCCACATTGCCTGTATTTGTTTCACATAAACAAACATCATTCGGAAATATTGCACCCCCATCCTCGTATCCGCATGTCAGCTCGTTGCTCTGTGTACAGCGTGATTGTACATGTAGACTTTAGAAAATATCGAAGAAGAAGCGCACATAAATAGTCTACTGTACATGTTCTGCTGTCCACTGTACAGATAAATACACTATATAAAAAACCCATCATCAAGAGCTAGCAAGGGCCAGTCAAATGGCTTGAATGAGACCATGATAGATTGCGGGCTACAAACTTACCTCAGTTGCTTGTCCGTTGATTTGAATTCGTGTGCATTGAGCCATCATGAAAAATATGAGTTGAAACAAACCTCGTTTTTCTCTTGTTCCCGCCATCGTGTCGCTCTCAATATAATACCAATGTGATCACTCTTTATGTTCTTGGAGTTGTCTAAGTAGCTATAATGTGGTCAGTATACTTGCATGACAGATTTGATCTAAAATTACTTTTGAGAACTGTGATTTCACTGATTTGTGAGAAATGCGATTTGTGAGGTATGCCTGTGCACGCTCGTTGCTTGAAATAGCTATATTGTCGACAAAAACACAATCAGCAACTCAAGAACTTTCCATTTACAATATTGTTAGCTATGTAATGTTGTGTGCCACACTGCCACTCTCTAGAGAGCACACTGCCCAGTGCGCCCACTGCTTTTTGTCTTTTAAAAAGTTTACATATATAAAAAGTAAAAAGTTGCATACCTTTTTTTTTTAAATCACAGAAGACGATCGGTGTGCTTTTTCTTGCTCTTTCATCAAGGTTGATTGAAGAAGGCGTACATGTAAAAAACATAACCTTGTTGAGGCTTGAGCCTTCTCTTCTTGTATTTTTAAAATTTAGAAGAAGGCTATTCATATGTAGAAAATATCTTTCTTGTTTCTTCCAACAAAATTATATTTTTGAAAAATGGAGTCAGTATTTCTATTTACTCTCTGT